AGGTAGCTTTTTATTGATTATTATTACAGTCGTCCTCATTAATATCAACCTCATTGATATTTACCTAAATTATAAAATGAATTCCTATATATTAAAGTTATATTAAAATTCCCTCATATAAATTAATTTTAATATGATCCTCATTAATATTACTACCAAAATAAATTTAAAAGCGATCCAACTTGGTTGATATAAATAAGGGACGACTGTATTATTATTTTATTTCTTTTTTATTAATAAAATAAGTGGGAGATCGCATTGAAGGGTATAAATTTCATAATAGAAATCGGCGGAAAAGTACTATCACTTTCATATAATTTTGGAATGCTAAGAGATTCTGGAAGCATGTAAAATTATATAGTCATGAAGGAAAAAATGCCAATAATTCACAATCTACTAAACGGGTTTTAATAATTCTACTATTATTAGAACAAAATAATGTGTTCTATAATATTTGTTAGTTGCATTCTAACTTCCAAAAAAAAAAAACTTATGAACTTTTAACAATTTCTAACATTAAATTTATACCTTTAATCGCGTTTTACCTTGTAATTTTTAATTTATTTTTTATTTGAATATTTTTTTTTAAATTAATCTTTTATATTGGAATTTTAATAATAGAGATGAGTATAGTTTCAGAAGCCTCCAAAATTATCAACATTTGGGTTCGACAACAGTTAACTAATGTTGAAATTCAATCATCACAATTAACAAGTCGCCTTGATAATAATACTGCTTTAAAAGACAGTCTTTTTATAGCATATTCTGAATATATAGGACAGCGTAAATATATAAAAACACGGTTTATAAAGCTTTACTGGTATATTCGATATATGCTTTTAGATGACAATGGAGAATTCTATGCACATATCAAGCTTCATATCGGTGATGTTGTACTCATAAAAGAAGAGAGCAGAAAGTCTTATGCTATTGTTAGAGCAATTTTTACTTATAAGTATAATGATGGACTTGTATACGCCTTTGTATAGATTGATTAGTTAAAAAATACTGGGTGTAATGATTCACTTTTAAGATATCCAATCTTTGAAAAACAGACAGATTCAGATGCAAGGTGGTATCATATTTATCCAATTTTAATTCTTAATGACATTCTCAAAGTACACTTTGTATACGCATGCCGTTTGTCTTGTTCAGCAAGCTCTCATAATAGTACCAACATTGAATATTTCATGACCAAATTTTTTTATAAGATGGTTTAAAGAAAGATATTTTTAAGATAGATTAGTTCCAAGATGCTAATAAATTTATGTAAAGTATTACAATGGCATATATGATATTAATTCATGTTCCGAGTTGAACGTAGAATATTTTTATTAAAGATAATGTTTAAAGTAATAATTCAAAATTACATAATGCTTTAGCACTATTATGCCCCAAATATTTGATTTCTTTTCAATAATATTTGTATGTTTTCTATGATCCTAATAGGATAATACTACGTATGCACTAATTTAATTGTACTGATTTGGGACATTAACCAATAATTCAAAGTAGAGATAGTTAATATAGTTCTTTTTATAGACATACAATGTAATCCTACGTAATATTTATGGTGAATTGCCTAATGAAACTCTAATACTGCTCAAAATGACCAAAAAATAGCATTGTATTATAAAATTATTTTGTTGAATTATTTTTTTAAAAAACTACTGTAGAGAAAGTTTTGTTATAATTGATGTAAGTAATAATTCGATAGTGAACAAATGTTAACTAATATTGAGATGCCAGGAAAGGTTGCATATGTGTAATTATAGAACGAACAAATCCAATGCAACCAAAAATGTGGTTCGAGAATTAGTGTCTTTGTCTAAAAGTATATGTATAGTGCACACATATTTATGTGAATAATTTGTTAGATGTACGTACGTACGTATAATCAAATTTATATAGATAAATTTGAATGAATTATGTGCACATCTCTAGTATTATTAATGATAGTATACTATTTAGAATGGATACCCTAGCCATGGCAAAGACAAAGTGTCGAGTCATATGACTTACGAAGCATCCGATCGAATACCGAAAAATCAAAAAATAAAAGAAAGGACCAAACTTTTGCAAGAAATTTTTTTAATTAGAATGCAGAAGGCATTTTTTGTAAAATTTTACGTTACAACCAGATCCCAGATTTTGATTGGTAGAGATTAATTCAGAGCACCAGAAGTCATATAACCCGACTCTTCTTTTTTGCCATGGCTAGGATATTTACTATTTACTAGAGTTGCTGATGAAACTGGTGACTATTTAAAATCTGATTGGCAGATTTTAGATAGTCACTAGTTTCACCAGCATGAATTAGTTTCACCAGCAATTTTATTATGTATACATTTCTAGCCAAAAACATATTAAGCTTTTAAAAAAAGTGCCTTGAGCATATTATGCACAGAATTTTATACACTGAATCATCATCTCTTTATTATAGCACTATTAGTTTTATCTGTTATAGTACAGCAGGATTTTAATTTCTTTGCGGTTTCAGGTCACAGCTGATTACCCCCTAGTGCACACAAAATAGCAATAAAATTTTTAAAGTTCATTACTTTAGGTAGATGTATAGTAAAATTGCTCGAGGAAAATTTTTTGTTGAGGCACAAAAGCCGATTTCTTATTCACATTTTCAAAAAATGTGCAATTTGTTTTTTTGAATTTTCTGATTGTGTAACATTACACCTGATCTTGAGAAATTTTGATTGGCACAAAATCACGTGCCACAGTGATCTACCTATGAATATAGCCTTATACCCAATTACTGATATTTTTACTTTTCTCTCTAGCTGAGATATTTATAAAAAATCACGATAACAAATAATACAACAGAAAACTAAAGTATCACACTTTTACTGGACTTAGCTATAAAACTAATGAATTGATTTGTTTTGGAGTGAAAGGCAAGAAATTTATAGTTTCGCTCCATTAACATGTACATTTGGATATCTAATACGTATATGCTTTCAATTTATAACATGGAGACTTACACAACAGTTAAGAAAATTTTAATTCAATTTGAACGTTTAGTTTTATAATTCAGATACATTACTAGTTTCTTATTTTTATTGCTTGTAAGAATCAACTGATAACTTATATTTTATCTGTTCCTGCATACAATCAAGTAATAATTAAACTAGGACTCGAAAATATTTAGAAATACAATTGATTAACCAAACTAATAACATGATTTTTGCATATAACAGTAACAAATATAAAATTTCAAAAATCTACATACGTACATATGTACGTACATACTCAAGGTTAGATGATTTTCAGAGGTTAATTCTTTTTGAATTTCTATAATTTAGCTGATCTATATTGTTTCTTGTTAAATAATTACTCATTTAATTCTTGAAAAGATTTCATCAAATAATTCTAAATTAATACATGAAAATTTCCATATCAAAAGGAGGTAGTGGACTAAAAAAAATTTTTTTAAAAAATCAATTTCTTGAAGAATTAAAATAATAAGTATACAATTTTTATACAATTACAAAATTAAATGGATATTTGCACAATTTTGTAGACTTAATCGACTCAGAGTTATTGAAAACCATAAGAATTTGAAGATCAAAGCCACAGTAACTTCTTCCTGTTGTATAACCCTTTATTTGAACTCTTCACCTATCATACCTCTTGATTCAATAGCTCACAACCTTGCGATTTTATGAAATTTATAGCCTGATGATAATTACCTTCAGAAGCGTGAGACCTAATATATCCTATCCATGACTGTTACTTTTTAAGTTTTCGTTACTTGTGCATGATAAATTTATTTAGATTATAGTTTACAAGAATCTGAACTAGGGCTCTTGACTTTTCCTATAAGGTTCACATTTACTTCACTCTGTTGATAATTGTTCAAGTTCTAAGCGAAATCTATCGATCACATTCATCGGTCTTATATAATAATCACTGGTTACGATAACTTCAAAGTTTCAATCCCTTGATCGTTTATCATGAATTAGCAGCCCATATTACAGAATTATTATACTATGTACTACATTTTTTCAGTTACCAACTTTTATTTTATCTCCTAAAAGAGGACTCGTCAATGTTGAGTATATTTATTTTTGACTAATCTTTATTTTATTACTTAGTGATCAATAAAAAAAAACCAGAGCAAAACTTAGATTTCAAATATTTCACAGATAAATATAAGAAAAATCAAGTGTAGAAGTGTTAATATTTAAATTGATCTTAAGATCCAAAAACACAAGTAGCATTAGCAATGTGCTTCGCGAGAACAACCAACTAACTTTGAATGATAAGGGGAAAAGCATTATCAAAATTTACTTCGCAAGAACAATATGCTGAGTTTATTATGTTTGGAATAATGAATTTGGATTGTTTAGAGGAGGTATTATTAATGCACTTTGCAAGAACACCACACTGACTTTTTAAACTTTGGTTGGATCAACATATGAAAAAGTACTTGCAGATGAGAACAACTATGACATTCATAGATATGTTTAGTAGTTTCTGGAACAGAAAGAGAAAGAAGCATTCCATATTGACTTCATTGTGAACAAAAATGGTTTGTATGCTAGTAAATAGTATTTATGTTCTTGATTTGTAAACTTGTACTAATGTGAATAAAATAATTCGAAGGGTATTATGAAATAATAGATAATTTTTTATTTTCTTGATTTGTAAACCAGTTTTGCTGATTTAATTCCAATAACTAATAAATAATTTTTATGTTCAGAGCTAAATAAAATATCTAAGGCGAATGAAATGATTCGAATGGAAATAGATATTTATGTTCTTGATTTGTGGACCGGTTTACTAATTTAATTTCAACAACTAATATGTAAGTGATCTTTATATTTAGAGTTATATAAAATAATTAACACGAATAAAATGATTCTAAGGGTATTATGGGATTATAGATAAGTATATATATTCTTGATTTGTGAACCGGTTTTATAATTTAATTTCAACAACTAATACGTAAGCGATCTTGATATTTAGAGCTGAATGAAGTGACTATGGCTAATAAAATGATCAAAAAGAAAAAATACAGTGTTGGCCATATATGTGGTTGTTGGGGTGCCCTAATTTTCCTCACCAGTTAGACTGTGCTACTTCATCTACAATCAAATAAGATCAGGTTTAATAAAAAAAATCGAAGTTTTTCAAAAATCATCAATAACTTAAATTTTGTTTACAAAACTGTCTTTCTAATTGTACTAAAAAAAATCCTTGCAAAATTTTACTATTCTATTAGACCTTTATACTTCTGTTGTTTGATCAAACCAAATTTCTAGACCAATTTAGTCTAATAAAAAGCAGGATCGTTTTTTGCCCAATAGGAACTGGTAGAAAAAAATAGTAAATCATGGTTCTTGGACCTTTGCTTGACCCCTGATGAGTTATAACTGTTATAACGCAATAGTTTAATATATCATTTTAGAGCTCTAAGTTCTGTTCTTAAAGCATTTTCTGGCTAGCAGAACTTGAGATAATGGTTAGATGATTATATATGCGAAAAATTCCTCTACAGCCTAATACTGTTATTCAAAGATATTATGAACCTTAATGCGAATGAAATAGTTTATAATATTAAATAAGTATTGTTTTTTTTTTTTTTTTGCTTAATATAGCATTGAATTAATATTAGTAGTTTGGTTAAAAATAGAGTTAGGGTTAGAATTAGTATTTGAGTAAAAATAATTAGAAATAATTAGCATTATAGTATATAAAAAATAAAAATAAAAATAATTATAATGTAAAAAATATATATTTAAGTATTTATATATATGACACCGGGGGATATTGATATCCACCCCCTAATTTTTAATAAAAAATAGTTTTTTACTAAAATTTAGGGTTAGAGTACAGTTTAATACCAAAATAGGGTCAGATTTAATAGGCCAAATTTTAAATTACACAAGGTTTTTTGAGGTTCTGGACATTTTTACTTAGTACACCTAACTCTGTTTCTTAGTCAGGTTTTTGAGATATAATAGTTTTTACTAAAATTTAGGTTTAGGGTGCAGTTTTACACCAAAATAAGGTGAATAAAATGGTCTAAATTTAGGTTATACAAGGTTTTGGGAGAGTTCTGAACATTTTTAGTTAGTACACCTGACACTGTTTTCTTATTAAGTTTTTGAGATATAGTACCCGGATATCAATATCCCCTGGTATCAATTAAATATATTCTATATTTAATTATTAATATTAGTTATTATATTAATTGTAAATTATATAATATGAATTTATGTATTTTAAATATTTATAAATATATTTTTAAAATATAATAAATACGTTTTTGATATATATTAAACATAGTATTAAAATATAATAATTATATTTTAAAAATATAGTTATTATATTTTAAAATAAATTTATATTTTAAAAACATATTTATTATATTTTAAAAATATAATTATTATATTTTAAAATATAAATATATTTTTAAAATATAATAAATATATTTTTAAAATATAATAAATATATTTTTAAAATATAATAAATACGTTTTAAAATAATATAGAATAAATAGATTTTTAAAACATAATAAATATATTCTTAAACTATAATAAATATATATTTACAATATAATTAATTTATTTAAATATAATAAATATGTTTTTAATATATAATTAAAATATTAAAAAATATTTTAGAATTATAATTATATTTTTAAAATATAATTAAAATATAATTAAAATATTTTAAAATTATAATTAATATATTTTTAATAATATTATTAAAATAGTTTTAATTTATATTTTTTATATTATTATTATTAAATTATCATTAGTAATTATAATGTTTTTTAATATATAATAAAAATATAATAAATCTATTATAATAATATTTTTAATTTTTTTATTGTTTCTGTAAAGTGCTACTTTTCCAAAAACATTATTCGTTTTAATATCTTGAAACAGAGCACAGAGTTTAAACTCAAATACACAGGCTATCAAATTAGGTCTGTCTGCTGCAGTTTGTTCTAGAAATAATTCATTAACTATTTCAGGCCAATTTGGATTGGCTGTCATAGTTCTAAAGATATCAGAATGTTGAAAAAATCAGATTATAGCCATTGAATCTTGAAAAATTTCAAACATATACCGAGCACTTCCAATATATGTAGATGGCAGTATAATGCATTGTCTAAGATTATTTAAATTAACCTCTTTATTTACAGTACATCCTAATGTATCAGAAAGTCCTTGATATATATTAGCTCTTAATACACCTTGGTTTAAGTGCAAGTATCTTAATCGGTTTTGTTTTGTAGCTGCCCAAGCATCTTCTAAAAATTCTTGAAACAATTTACCACCTCGAAGAATAGAGGAAAATTCATGTCGTCGTGAAAAAGATGAAATATATAAAAATCCATTTGGGTAAGTTTTGGAGCATTAATTTGATTAGCAATTTGGTGCCCAAAATCATTAATTAAAGTTTGACGCATATCAGCATACCAACCAAGTTCTCTATATAGAAAAAAAAATACAAAATGAAGTAGAAGATATGCTGGGTGCCTCTCATGAATATGCTTAAGTGGACCTCCATGTAGTCGAAGTATTATGTCATGCATTGCCTCAAGTCTCGATCCATCACTAGGCAAAATAACTGCTACCTCATTTGCTATAAGAAGATTATATCAGTGTTTTTCTGTTATACTATTAAAATGCAAAAAAAACAGCTAAATCAGTTTCAGATATATTTTCTGTACAGAATTGTAAAAGATTTTCATGTGCTTGCTGATATATAGAAAAAAAAGCATAATGTTCTCGCAAAGTTTCTTGTAATTCCCACATTGTTTATGCATGTAAATTTCTATTTTGTCTTATTCTAATTTGATGTGCACTATCTGGATCATAAATATAAAGTTGCATCATTATTAGTTGTAGAAAGAAGTAAACCAGATCTGTGTCGAAGTTCATCATGAATATGAAAGCTATAGAGAGCATAACCATTGAGAACAGACGTATCAATTTCTACTTCAAGAGAAGTGAATGCATATGCCATATTGTATTGGTGTATATTACTATGAAATTCTTTACATTGCTCATCATTGTTTTCAAAAAGATGCCACAAAAAATATGATGATTCACGAAGAAATGGAAGCACTACTTGTCCATGGCTACAGCATGTTCCAAATTTTGGATTAGCTATAGATAATCCTGAAATACATTCATCTAACCAATGAAGTGCGCCACAATGAATACACTCTATATTCATAGGACCAATATTATGGCGTATATTATTCTGTCAAAATTCAGTAACAATTTCAGAATTTTGTATAATACGTGCTCATTTATTTCGCTCATTTTCTTTTTGTAATTTTTGTACAATAGATCTCTGACTTCTTGTATTATTGGCTTGTTTATGTTGCCTTCTTTCTTGCTGAGAAAATGCTCTTCAATTACCTACATATTCTATTTGTTCGTGTTTTATTCCATGTTGAGACTCATCTTCTTGATTTTTAATGTTTTCCAACCTTTCATGCTGCCTTCTTTCCTGTTGTGCAATAGATCTTCTATTTGATTCAGTAGAAAGTAATTGCATTTCACGTTCATGTTCGTGCCTTTGTAGTTGTGCTAAAGACCTTCGACTCATAATAGATTGTTATTACTATATAATAAGAAAAAAAATTTTGTTTAGTTTGCAAATTTTATTAATAAATATAACTGACGTGTTAGAGTGTAAAAAACTTAAATAGGTGTTGCGCAGGTAAAAATAGTATAAGAGAAACGTGCATCTGATAAATTCTGAATGTGTTATTACACAAATGATTTATATAGTCAATTTAAAATCTGATATTGATATATATGATCATAGTGGCAATTTCATGATCTATTTACCCATAATAAGTTAAACTTAAGATACCCATATTGATTAGTATAATTTCTTCAGTTTAAAAAATCTTTTTTAATCATTTTTAATTACTTTCTCTACAGAGTTTTCATAAGAATAAAGGTAAACATTTGGTAATTGGCAGCAGTGTTTATTGAGTTTCTACTATGTTTAAATTATTAAAGCGTGAAGGTTATACTAATATTTAAAGCATGAAGGTTATACTAATATAAAATTTTATACATTTATTAAATAGGCCAAGCAATTTAAAGCTTTTAGCAAGGCTTATTTCAGTATTTACTCGAACAAAGAACATATTTATGTAAATAGATAAAAAAACTGCAATCTCTAATATATAGAAATATGGTGACACAGTCTAATTGATAGTATAGTCTAAGGGTGGTAACATATAACAGCATTTTTTTGGTAAAGTATAATAGTTAAAAGATGGGTTAGAATTACTTTAGCTTTAAAAAAAACTTTGCTTTTGTTATTATTTAGCATATCGAAAAAATTTTAATTTGATTTAGCCAATCATATAAATATTATAACCCGTCAAAATTGAGTTTGTAAAAATTGCATAGCTTATTAGGGTATAAATTATATATGTTATAGAAACTATTTTGGCATTGCTAAAAATATTTCGGCATTGATATTTGGTATGAAATATCTGAGTTATTTTAGAAATAACTCAGATATTTCATACCAAATATCAATGCTGAAATACTTTCGGCAATGCCGAAATAGTTTCTGTAACATGTATAGTATAAATCTAATTAAGCTTATTATGATAAATCATATATTCAGATTTTTTGCTGATCGTTATTAATATATATAGTAACTTCAAATCTCTAAAACTTCTGAACCAGTACATTTATAACAATGAAATTATAATTTTGGATTCTTTGTTAGATGCTCTACAACAATATAGAGCCATTTTTTTAATTATTGCTTATTTTTTCTTAATTTTAGCTATTAAATATAATAAAGCTAAAAAAATGGCTTTATATTGTTGTAGAGCATCTAATAAGGAATTATAGACACAGTTTTAGAGATTTGAAGTTACTATATAAATGATGGTTGGCAAAAAAACCTCATAGTAAGCTTAATTAACTCTATGATATCACATACCCCAATAGCTTATATCGAAATCCTATATATGAAAAATTATGCTCAGGTAATTATAACAAGGCTGTTTAAGACTATACTGGGGGTATGGGCTTTTATTCTGTTTCTTAATTACAAACATTCAAAAAAAAAATTCAAAAAAATTCTTCAAAGCAATGTTTATATTCGTGCAGACACCTTTAAAAGAAATTGTTTAAATTTTATAAAAGTTGCTGAATCTAATAAACATGGTAGAAAAATGTCACGTCAAAAATGCAATTATTGTGAAAAAGAATGTTGATTCAGTTGATCAATTAAAATCTTCCAAGAAATATGAGATTTATTAAAAGTTCATGATTCTATTTCAAGTGACATATGCGATTAGATTAATATGAGAAGGATAAATTATTTATTCATTGTATTCCTTCTAATTTTTAAATAATTCATTCACAACAACTTATTTAATAAGGTTACATAGTGGCGATATTACTGTAAATATGAACTCTCAATACTATAAATGTAAAACTAATATTATATTAAATAAAAGATTTTACCTGACAGCAAATCTAATATGCGTCATTTCTGGGCCTTTTTGGAGCTCTGCAGTTAATATATTAAATTTTGCAGCCAGATAATAAAATAAAAAATA